GTGTCTGTTCACTGTATGTTTATCTGTTCACAGTATGTGTGTCTGTTCACTGTATGTTTATCTGTTCACTGTATGTGTATATGTTCACTGTATGTGTATCTGATCACTGTATGTGTATCTGTTTACTTTGTGTGTATCTGCTCACTGTGTGTGTATCTGCTCACTGTGTGTGTATCTCTAAGAGCCGTCTGTTGTTTTTTTAAAAGATTTAAGTGAAGGACTGATACATCCTAAGCTGAATCCTCGTCGGTGGCTGCAAAAGCACACAATCTCATAGACATATGGACGTACAGAACACGCCAATGCACGCTCTTTCTTGCCCTCATGCCCTAAATGCTGTGACACCCTCTCTCCTGCAGAATGCGTTTGGCAACAGCACAGAGGGCTTCAGCCTGTTCAGCTCAGCAGGCTATGGCCAATCCGATCTGCTCTTCAGCGATGCCACCTACCTCCTGCAGAGAGTTCTGGGTAGTTACACATCCTGGCTGGGCCCCACCTACACCACCATGCTGCAGGCCTTCGAGTGCGAGGGTGAGCGTGACAACATCCACCTTTTTCACTATGTTGTGAACAGTTGTGTTTATGTGGATTTACTGATGAAGGGTGGGCGCAGAGTGGCTACAGAAGTGTTTTCTGCTTGTGTGTGTGTGTGTGTCCAGTGCAGCTGCTCTCATTATTGCTTTTCACCACCAACAGGCTTCTGCTGATGGAAGAGGGGGAGAGATCCAGCGCACCAACTTCCACCCCATCCTGCTGTCCCCGTCCTTGCGTTCTGCCGTCCCTCCCTGCCATCTGGGTCCTCCGGCTCACTATCTCTGTCTCCTTTCGCTTCGCTTTTCATTTCTGTGTCCTCCCTGCATCTTACAACCAATATCTTGTATTGTTTCCTTGCCCTCTTACCATGTTGTCCAACATGCTGCCTGGCAGGAAAAGAACAACGCTAAGAGCAGCTAATCAGTTATTAAAATGTCCACGATATGTTTAATAAATCCGGACTAAAGTCTCAGAAATATAACTAGACAGTAGAAGAGAAGATGAGGTTATTATTAACTGTCACATTTTGCTTATTTACATAGCATTTATTTTTATTTTGATATTTTAAACATTAATTCTTCCTCAGATGTTCTTCCATCATCTCAAAACCCATTTGCACACCATAAAAGTTCCTGTTCTGAATCTGTTTGTCTGCTGGGACATTTCAGCTTCCTCCACCAGGGTCTGTCTCTGGCACTGAACAACTGGGTGCTATTAACTTTAACATTAGGAGTCTCAGTTACTGTAAATGTGTGTGTGTGTGTGTGTGTGTGTGTGAGGGAGAGAGAGTGTGTGTGACTTTCCCACAGCCATTATTGCCCTAATTGGCTTTCTGGCATGTTATACTGTTAGTGTGTGACAGAGACAAAGTGTGTGTTGGATGTATTGATAGTCACTTTCCCATGGCTTGTATTGCTCACTACTTTGGATCACTGCTTTCTCACGTCTGGTTCGGTGACCCGGCCCATGCAGTACTGCAACATTCACTGCAACATTCACGTTGTTTGTAGAAAGAACATCAAGACTACGATTCCCTGAATGGGTCTTGTGGACAAATTGGATTTTCACTTCTGTTTGCATCGCTCAGATTCCCCAGCGCGCCAAAATACTCTGCTTTTATCCACAGAAACGTCTGTTTTATTCACCGACTGTGCAAAAATAGGAAGACTTTTAATAGTAAAAAACAAAAATTGTGACGAACAGGAGGATGTTCGAGTCTTGCCAGAAGATATTCAGCTTCATTTGTTTATGAATGTATAACAATCATTAACTTTTTAACAGGTTAAAGACAGTGTAGTTGTATGATTACAATAAATCAACCAGATGAGCCAGACTTGACCCACTGAATCACGTACTGTAAAAGGCAGATTAGTCTATAAATCTGCACTTTTTATGTCATTTCCTCCGCCAAGCTCAGATCTGAACTGAAAGCTGGATGAAGTTCTCCTCATCCTGCTGTGCTTCTTGAACATCCACGCAGGAAACATCCACAGCTCGTAGAAAACATACAGCTGCAGGTTTTAGCTTTAAAAGCAAACCATGTGTGTGTTACTAATCTCTGAATTTAACTTGGGTTTGGACCGTTGGTGCTGTTTGTTTTTGATACTCATATCCTATTGCTTAGAACCAGATGTAAATAGTCCTCTGAATATGTAGAGCTGCAAACTTTCTTTTTTAACCAACTAAATAAATAATGATGAAACCCTTCTCTTTCATGGTGACTTCTTCAACTGACACATTTGACACGATAGGAAATGAAATGCAATGAGGAATGTGGTGCAGTGTGTTGGACAAGTGGATCAGGGATATTCAGTCATCGTCAGGGGTTCCTGTAAAGAAAGAGATACTCAAAGCCTCTCCTGGCTTCGCTTCACCTCATTTACAACTTTAATCCCACAGAAAAAGCCTGCTCATGATGGAAAAGTCCCATTTAGTGATGAGCAGTCTGTACACTGAACTGCACTGCAGCAAAATGCTGTAATCGCCATCAGGGCTTGGATTTCTTGCTGCTCGTTCTGCTGTAATGCAACAAAAACACAAAACACTGCCTCAGTACAGTCCTATGAGTGGTGTACTCTACAGTTTTGTAGTGGGTATGCTGTGCTTTGAAACCAAAATACACTGGTTAGGACAATGTAATCATCAATTTATTTAGATTTTCAAACATATTGAACATTTCTAAATTTCTCTAATGTGTATATTTCAATAAATGTACAACAAGAAGTCCGCTGTCCTGGTTACCAGAGAGAGCATCCTGTGCCCCAGCATCAACGTGTGGCATGGAGGCTGCACAGCTGCAGAAAGAAAAGCTTTGCAGAGAGTGGTGAAGGCTGCACAGAAGACTGTTGGAGTCAGTCTCCCCTCCATCACAGACATCTACCCCTCCAGATTCAGGAAGAGGGCCACCTGCATCACGAAGGACCCCACTCACCCAGCACTCACACTTTTTGCCCCACTCCCCTCAGGAAGGAGGTTGAGGAGCATTAAGTGTAGAACCACTAGACTGAGGAACAGCTTCTACCCTGAGGCTGTTAGACTCATGAATCTCTAACCAGAATAATCACTGTGAAAAATCACATCATGTTGCTGCTGATCTGTTTCATGTTGCTGCTGATCTGTTTCAATGTTAATGTGTTCATTCGTGCTCATCTGTTCACACAGACTCATGTTTGTGCTGCTGTTCAGCAAATTGTTTTTGTTCTGCTAGTGCTTCGTGTATTTTTAGTTTAACGTTTTTCTTAGTTCATATCTTAGATCTTATTACTGTTTTTCTTTTACATTTTATACTTTTGTTGGATGTAACTGGGTCCCTGTGTACACAATTTTGTTCCACCTCATGTACCACATGTGGTGCGTATGACAAATAAAGCAACCCTGACTCTCTCTCTCTCTCTCTCTCTCTACTCACAGAAACAGCCTGAAACTCAACCATCCAGGCAGCAAAATCGCAAAAAAGTTAAATCATGTATTCAGTAGCCTGACTCTCACTCCCGTCCTATAGTGAAGAACAATGATTATTAGTAATTTACTGATTCATTTAGACACAAAACGGTTTTAAAAACTAGAAATAAAGGACACAGAAGTAGCCCTCATTGAAAAGTGTAATTGCAACCAAACAGCAACCATGAATTTTTATCTCAATAATGCACACATGAAATGATAGTCCTAATACACTTTGGCTCAGAATGTGAACATGCTGGATATCAAGTCAAGTCAAGGTCAAGGTCAATGTCAATTCAAGTGTCTTTATTGTCATTCTCATCACATGTGGTACAAAAGGTGGAACAAAATGATGTACACAGGTTCCCAGTTACATGCAACAACAGCAAAAATGTAAAGTGTAAAAAGAAACAGTAAATAAGGATGTAAGATATAAACTAAGATATAGCAGCACAAACATGAGTATTTGTGGGTGGATGAGTACGGATGAACACAGCAGCATGAAATAATCAGCAGCACGATATCAGCAGCACAGATAATCAGCAGCACATATCATCAATCAAAGTTGCATTACAGTGATTTTTTTTTATTTTTATGCACACATGAATGATCTAACAAGCTAACGACACGCAGCATGGCTTTTCAAATGACTAATTCACCTTTTCACAAGACTGCTCTGTTCAGCAGCTGTATGAGAGGACTCATTCAACTTTACCCTTTTAGCTGAAATAACAACTTTTTACTCAATTATCTGCCTCCTTGCTTTAAAAAAACCCATTTTCCAACAGTGCTGTATTGTTTTTCAGTTCTCGAGCAAAGGCTGTGCGTCTATAGTGTCAGAACTTTCACTGAACTGGCAAGAGTGCTGATGAGAGCTAAATCACCCAGCAGGGCTATTAGAGGCCTGCAGCATCAAAACGTACTCTGTTTCTTTGACTTGGAGCAAAAATACAATTTTATGAGCTTGTAATCTATCAAAGTTCAATCACGTGAAATGTAACTTTTTGTTTAGTTTTTGTTAGAAGTAGAAAAGTAAAATGTAAAACTGTGTGTGAACAGGAAACTGACTATCGAACAAAGATACTAGAAGAGCTTTGTGAAAGAATTCAGGGTCTGCTTTATGTAGCATCACTCTCAGCTGACCACTGAGTAAACTTCAGCTGATATTTGCATTCAGGGATTTATCTGATACCAGAGGCTAACGCTGTCATGTAGCTTTGAGAGAATTAAAGCCCAATCTTTCCTTCAGAAACATGTATTTTCCGAGGTATAGGAATAAAATGAGCCCTTTGGCTGATTCTAGGCCACTAATTTTCCTTAGACTGACAAGTTTGCAGCTGTAGATGAACATATTCTGTGATATATTCATAAATTAAACGGATTCATTCATTTTTCTGGACTGAATAATTTCGTGCATTGAATTTAATTAAATGTGGACGGAAACGTGTTTATCTTTGACTCACCAACAACAGTGGGTCATTTATTTTAAAACGATTTAAACACATCACACATTTACATTAATTTGGCAAAATTGAAAATAACAACAGGTTAATTAATCAGTTTACAATTAGAAAACCATACGGTGATGGTTTTCTTCACTTCAAGCTATACAACAGACATTTCTAAAAATATCTGGAATGATTTCTAGCAGATAGAAGAGTTAAAGATGGAAAGATGAAGTTTAGAGGGAGGGAGATGGTGTGTGAGTGAAAGTGTTGAACAGAACGGCACCCTCCATTCGAACCCAGCTTTCCTCGGTACGCTCGGTAGTAAACTCGACTCATTACCTCTCTGACGATGAATCAGCGGATACGGAGTTCCAGTTAACGCTACCGGTCCAGCCTCTCCGTAGGATGGCAGAGAACCGTCCGGAGTGGTGGCGGGACTTCATCAACAACAGTTCACCTCACGAGTGGACTCACATGAGTGGAGTCCTTCAGAAGTTCTACTCAGATGTGGAAGATTGCATAATTCCCACAAGACTCGGAAGAGCTCTGGATCATGTCTGGACTTCTGTTCTCCCCAGCACTTCTTCCGTTCGGTTCTGCTCACAGAACTGAACTCGACTGCACTCGACTGGAGCTGCACTCTGCAAAAACTGGTTTGAACTAGGAAGTGCCGACATTTAAAGAGTTCTATTTCCGGTTCATTTGGGAGGTTCCTGATTGGTCAAATCGACCAGACAGGGGTGTGTTTTTGTGACGTAAGAGGTCACTAGAAGTCAGAAAAACAGAAAATGTTTTGGAACAGATTGAAAATGTTTTATAGACAGA